TGTTGGCAATTATCATAAACTGTCTATATATCGGCTTTTACTTAACTGCTTAATCCAAAGTACAATTTAACTACTAAATTTAAAGTGTCGTTTAACTCAATTTCAGGCTATTTGAAATTCTAATGCATAACAATGTAAATGTATAACTATGGTTTTCTGGAAATCAGCTTTTGGCAAAATTCTCTCTTTATATAGATATGTAAGTATAAAAATATCGACAACCTATGTACTTTTGTACACAATGATTTTTCTATTCATTGCTATAGCCCTTGAAATAATTAAGCTTGAAGTGATGTTGAAACGTCCTGATAACTACCAATTTACTCGGTTAACAAGAAGTATGCCCCTTCACTGTCTGTGTCATTACATTTTCAATTAGACATTCAGTAACATGTATAGAGTCAGAGAAGGAAGTAAACTGGAAGAACACTTGGAAATCTTTTTGTAATCTTACAACAAAAGCCAAAAATTGTGTTGGTAAAACTATGTTTCTTCTGTGGAGGAAAAATAAAATGCAACCACGTGTTCATCGATCAAGTGAAGAATCCATAAACTGCTAAACAAGATTGAAAAATTGTATTAATAGATACATCAGGAAATAAGGATAATCAAAGTCATCGTGACATTTTATGGTAACTCTAACTTTTCCTGAATCGGTGCCTTTGGAGTGTATTGTCAGTGACGGAGAAAAGCAAGCTGTATTTGCAACTTTTGCTCGCATTGAAAGCCTATTTCGACAAGGATATCCTGCTACAGCTATTATAACAAATTATGACTTAGGGAATAGGGCACCATTTTAAAGAAGTATTCTCCAACTGTACGCCTCCCAGTGGCACAGCGGTATGTCTGCGGACTTATACCGCTAGAAACCGGGTTTCGATACCCATGGTGGGTAGAGCACAGATAGCCCTTTGTGTAGCTTTGTGCTTAATAATAAACAACAACTCCAACTGTAAGTCGTTGTTGTGCCCATTTTATGTGCTAAAAGGCAGAATGGGTTTGGATCTTCCAAAAAAGCCTATAGATTAAATATATAAATTGCATTAAGATGCCTTGTGTATAGTACAAGTGAAAATGTATATTTTGAAAGATTTAATTCTTTGATGTAAAAGGAAAACTATTGAAAATATGTTAGAATGTAAAGAAGCTTTATCTTCATATGCTCGAGATTTTCTTCTCTTTCAAGGCAATAATAATAATAACAATTATACTGATAGTTTTTAAAACATCTTTAAAAGAGTACAACCTCTGAACCTTATTCAACTAACTGATTTTTTCCTTGTTCGATTTGAAGCATATTTAGAAAGAAGAATATAAATTTTGTACTAAATTGGTATTGTAAGTCTCCTGTTTCCAGAAGACAAAAATTGGTTTATTGTATCGAGTAAACGTCGTTATTAAATTGCTTATCTTGTCAACATATCATTCGGTATATGTACAATCACTGTTATTGTGGTAGGTCAATTGTGCAAACCTCTCAAAACATGTTTAGTAAGTTATTACATTGTTTTACATAGTTGGCTCATATTTTTAGACTTTCTCCTTTGTCAAGTGAAAAATCCATTAAATTTAAGAAGAGTCACAGGTCAGAAATATTTTTTAAAACTGATTCTAGCAAAGAATTATAAATAGTGTTGTTAATGAGAGCTTGAAGATTCATCTAACAGTAGCAGAGAATAATACTTTAACACATCATGAAGTCTATTACCATTGAAGAGAAGAATCAATGTAGCAGCTTAAAAGTCTGTTGACCTAAATTATTCAAATTGAACTACTGAAATTCACTTACAAGTGATAAATAAACTTCGAAATTTGTTTAAGAAAGCAAGGAACGATTAATAAAAATCTTAAAACTCTTATGCCAGCTGTGAGAAACATTGTCTCAAATGTGGATATATTTGTAAAAACCACTGATATCTGTTCCTTACAATTTCGGAAAGCAACGTTTGTTTAATACAGACAAAACATACTACAGAACTTGAAAAATGCATGAAAGCGAACAATTTCTATTCCAGTACAGCCTCAGACAGCGAGCACATTGTTCAAATAAAAGTTACATCAATCCAATCGTTGTAATGAGTTCTCTCTTTACCAAACCAAACAAAAAACTTATTTAACGTCTACGTATCATATCCAACAGAGGTTTTTAAAGTGTTTAACTAGTTTACTATCTATTTAAGATGTACACAATTATATATTTATATTGTAGTTTTCCGGATGATTGACAATCGTTCTTTAGGATTACATGATATATCTGAACTAAATAATAAAGGATTTTACTCATCTAAATATTACTACTTTGTCAAATGGAAAGGATTAAACGTGATATGTGTGTAAAAGTTATACATAAGTTATTAAAACAATATAACCTGACAATATTGACAACAGCTGTCAAATAAAGTGGGAATATTTATAGCAAAAGTAAAGTTTATATAGTGTCAAATAACTTTATATGAGGTTTCACAATCGGAACCACATATCTGGTTCTGAAAAAGCACATTCAATATCGAGAAACGTATAGGTTTAACTTTAATTGTAATAACTACAGTAACTTTGT